TTGTAGTGTACGCGCTCAAGGCACCTTGGAATAAACATACAACTTTATGGTTACATGGTTTAATATAAACTAACTAGCATCAACAGCAATACACATGATTTTATAACAAGCATTCAAGATCATTAAGTAGAAATACAGATCGTGGGAATCTAAGACAAAGTCATAACTCATGTCACTGCATCCGGTGATGCATACAGTTTATAGTACCGACAGCTGATTAACGTAAACAAACTTGAACTGATAAATATCAACAATGTAAATACTACATTCCTCTTTTCCTTGGATTGATAATTATATTATTGAAAGATTAATTCCAAAATAAACACTTAGCGAAATTAAGAACTTATTTGATCTAAAGAAATTGTCTGTAAAATGTGTGAAATTAATCTAATGAAACCCTACATGATTATACTAAATATATACAGTCTAAGCGAACATTTACAGTTTTAGTTCATCACAAAATCTTTAAAACGCTCTGGTAACTTTTGGTTACGTTTTGGTCTTGACGGTATCAATGAATCCTCACGAAGGTTAACTTCTGTATCTGTATGTTCATTTTCATTTGTGTCTTCAATATTAGTGTCAATGTTTTCGTACTCTAAAGTTTTCTCTTCGTTTATTTGTCCATTAAACTTTTTAACAAATGAACTGTTCCTTTGGGAAATGTTCCCTTCATTGTTCTTTAAGGTAAGTCGAGATCCTTCTCTCTTGATAACATAATACGGATCGTGTTCGAATGATGTTGACAGTTTGTTGGTTTTTGTCTGTTTCTGTAACACTATATCTCCTACGTCAATGTCTGATTCTCGCGTTTTTCTTTTCTGGTCGGCATATATTTTTCCCTTTTCTTTCATTTCAAAGTCTTTTCTTCGCGTATCTGCGTCGTCTTTTCCATTCTCCGCATCAATCTCGGGTAGTTTTGTACGAATTTTCCTATTGAATAAGAGTTCTGCGGGACTTTTCCCAGTAGTACTATGCGGAGTACTGCGGTAGGCTAGCAGAAATTTCGGAATTTCTTTCCTCCAATCTCGATTTTCGGCATTAGCTGTTCTAAATGCTTTAAGTAAAGTTCTGTTCTGTCGTTCAACTTCACCATTGGCTTGAGGCCAATATGGTGTGCTTCTGTTATGTTTGACACCGTTTTCGCTCAAATAATTATAAAATTCCTTTGATGTGAATTGGGGTCCATTGTCCGTTTTTAAAGATATTGGAATTCCGTGATGAGAAAACATCATATCAAGCGAACGGATAATTTTATCGGTTGTAACTGATTTAAGTATCGCTACCTCTTGCCACCTGGAGTAATAATCCACTACGACAAACACATATTCACCTGTTGGAAACGGTCCCATAAGATCGGCACACAAGTCTTGCCACGGTCCGTCTGGCAGCTGTGTTCTCTTTATAGGTTCTTGTTTCGGCACGGGTCCTACGACTTGGCACGCTCTGCATGATTTAACAAGATTTTCGGCGTCTTGGTCGATTCCAGGCCACCATACTTTTTCACGTAGCCTCAGTTTTGTTTTAACAATACCTTGATGACCCTCATGTGCTAACTGTAATGTCTGTTTTCTTAGCCTATCAGGTATAACGATTCGTGTTCCCTTTAATAGTACACCATCAACAACTGATAATTCTTCTCGGAAACGGAAGAGATTGTTTGACTTTGAAATTTTTCCATTCAAAATCTGTTTCATGTCTTTATCCAAATGTGCTGAATCTTTAATCATTCTAAACGTCATCGCGTTCGGAACTGCATTTTGTGCTACGAAATAAGCATACTCCTCTGCAATGTTTCTACCTGTAGTCTCATCTTGAACTTGCGACAATCTCGAAAGGCAGTCTGCTGCATTTTGCGGTCCTGGTTTGTACTTTACCTTAAACGTATAAGGTTGTAAACGCATCGCCCATCTTTCAATACGAGCTGGTGGTTTAGATTTCGGGGAATAGATAACCTCTAACGGTTTATGGTCGGTCACTAAAATAAATTCCTTTCCATATAAGTACAAATGGAAACGTTCACATCCCCATACGGCAGCAAGGGCTTCGCGCTCGGTTTGAGAATATCGTTGTTCGACATCGGTCAATGTCCTACTAGCAAATGTAACCGGTCTAAAGTTCCCATCGCTTTGTTTCTGGCTTAGAATAGCTCCAAGTCCTACAGGGCTCGCATCTACTATCATGTGTGTTTCTGCGTTACTATTATAATATGCTAGCGTTTTTGCACTTGCTAACAACATTTTCAGTTCATCAAACGCGTCTTGGTGTCTGCTTGACCATATCCATTTAGTTTTTGCTCTCGTTAGCTCTCGGAGAGGTGCTGAAACTGTTGAAAAGTCTGGTATATAGCGACCACAATAATTTACAAGTCCGAGGAAACTTCTCACCTCCGAGGCGGTTTTCGGATTTCTTGCACTTGTTACGGCTTCGACTTTTGACTTTTCGGGACTGATCCCTTTTGCTGAAAGTACATGTCCCATAAACGTCATTTTGTCCATATTGAACCTACATTTGTCCTTATTCAGTCTTAGTCCCTTTTCGCGCATTCGGTCCAAAACTTTATTCAAACGCTCGTCATGTTCCTGTTGTGTGCATCCGTATACAATTATATCATCTGATATGTTTCGTTGTCCGGCACATCCTTCTAAAGCCATTTTAATGCATTGTTGGTACATTTCTGGTGCACACGATATTCCAAACATTAATCGCTTATAACGAAATAATCCAACATGGGTAGTGAATGTTGTTATATTTCTGGATTCAGGTTCCAGTTCTACTTGATGAAAACCCATCCTTAAATCAATTTTAGAATATACCTTAGCCCCATTTAGCTCTTGTAAAATTTCATCCACTGTAGGAATTGGGTGTCTCGAACGTTTTACGGCTTCATTAGCTCGCCTCATATCAACACAAATTCTAATTTCCGAGTTACGTTTCGGAACTACTACTAATGGTGACACCCATTCTGTTGGACCTTCAACACGCTCAATTACATCCATTTCTTCTAACTCACATAATTTTTCTTCCACAGATTTTCGAATATTAAACGGTAATCTTCTAGTTGGTTGTGCAATTGGTTTAACATTTTTATCTATATAAATTTTCAATTGGTAATCCTTCAATTTACCTAATCCACAAAATAAATCAGAATATTGTGACCTTATATCACCTTGTGTATTGATCATATTGACAGATGGACCGATCAATAAAATGCCTAATTCACTTGCTGTACTACGACCCAGCAGAGGTGTATGATTACCATCAATTACCATGAAATCGGCTTTAACACACTTTCTTGATTCCTCACATGTTATATCAGATCTAATCTTGCTATTGATCATTAACGGATTAATAGCTCCGTATGCATATAACTGCTTCTCAATTGGAATTTTATTGACACCACATTTCTTTAATTTGCTCATAATTTCACTATTGATAATATTACACGTAGCTCCGGAATCAACTAAAAATGGAATAACAACATCTCCTATTTTCAAAGTAATCCTTTTTTCGGAGGATCGATCAATCGCGAATACATATTCTTCGGAATCGTCGGAACTTTCTTCTTCCATATATCTAACTTTTTCCTTCTTGTAAAACTTTCCTTGATCCTTTGTTGACTTCTTGCTCTTGCATTTCTTTGCAAAGTGTCCCATCTTGCCACATTTGTGACAAGTCTTATCCATGGCAACTGTACATTCTCTAGCTATATGCCCCGTACGGCCACATCGATGACACTCGATATCTTTTCTTTTAGAGTGATAGTCATGTCTCTGATGTCTCGCTGCATTAAAGTCGCGTTTAACTTGAACTCTGTTTATGTGAACTTCCTCAAATTGTGCGGAATGCTGATCTGCTGCTTCACTTGCTCTCGCTATGTCTTGGACTTTTTCTAGTGTCAAATCTTTTTCACGCAAAAGTCGGCGTCTTAATTTTGTTGAATAGCACATGTCAATAACCTGGTCTCGAATGGCATCGTTAAGCATTGTTCCAAAGTCACAAGTTTTTGCTAAGTTTTTAAGCCTTGTAACGTAACTATCAATTGATTCATTCTCGTTCTGTTTACATTTACGAAACACGTGTCGTTCTACCGGCTGATTTTTCTTCGGAAGAAAATATTGGTCGAATTTAACCACGGCATCTTCAAACGAATCTCCTGTATCGGTAAATGTCTCAAAAATATCTTGTGCGTCTTGTCCAATTAAATGTAATAGTAATGCTCTTTTCTGTCCTCCCTCGGATACGCCAGATGCTGTCATATAATACTGAAAACTTTTCTTCCATTTTGTCCATCTTTGTGAAAGTGAAGATTGTTCTCCGTTACAATCAAAAGATTGCACAGTTGGTAAATCCAGTAATTTTGCCATAATAACTTCGTATTCACGTTCACCGAATAAGATATCTAAACAATAATTCCCGGATTCTAAATCCATTTACAAAAATACATTTTCTCGTCGCCAAATTGTAGTGTACGCGCTCAAGGCACCTTGGAATAAACATACAACTTTATGGTTACATGGTTTAATATAAACTAACTAGCATCAACAGCAATACACATGATTTTATAACAAGCATTCAAGATCATTAAGTAGAAATACAGATCGTGGGAATCTAAGACAAAGTCATAACTCATGTCACTGCATCCGGTGATGCATACAGTTTATAGTACCGACAGCTGATTAACGTAAACAAACTTGAACTGATAAATATCAACAATGTAAATATTACACTATTTGTGATTTTACAGCACGTAAATATATATGTTACCTTGGCTTTTCTTGGTGATTTTTTGGGGTTTTTACTATACCTTATGATTTCGCAGAAAATTTTCCCCAATTTTGATCAAAATAAAAAAAAAACATTTCCGGCTCTTGATCATATACATTTGAGGACAAATTTGTTCTTACATGAAACTTTATTCATAATGCTTTCCAGGAGAAAAATATATAAATGATATAACAACCAATCACAGATAGACAGCTATTTTCATCTCTATGAATGTTCCATTCACGAATGGCTGTGCCGATGTAACTTTATTTAGTATATTGTAACCTGAAAGGTTATGTCAGATGCTTTCACTTTCTGTACCCTTACGATCGGGATGTTTTTTTAAAAAGAAAAGATAAAAAGATTCTAAAAGAAGGTATTTGAATTACTGTGTCGTTAATATATGTTTCCCAAAGTTCAGTCTAAAAAATAAACATGATAAAATATATATTATTGGGATCATGTTCCGAAAATTATAAGACTTACATATGTTACAATGACGAATTTCCCTGACAGCTGACAAAATGTCAATATATTTGAACATAAAGTACGTATTTTATAGCTCTTTTCGTACTTTAATACTTTCATATTTGTGAAATACTCAAACAGGAAGTTAAGTACAATACACATGTTAAAATAAAATAAAAGTAAAAGGTGTGGTTTATCTCTTTCAAAGATCTAACGATAAAACCGGTAAAGTGTTAGATGCTCGGTTAAATATTACATTTAACAGTTCTGACTTTTTTTTTAGGAAAAATAATAAGTTACTAAGCTCTGATATTCCTTAATTGCAAAGGTAGGTTGATCTCTTATTATCCACATACCAACCATTTACTTATCAGTAATAATCTTAATAAAGATAACGTATAATCCTTAACAGTTAACGAAGAGCTGAAGATATCAAAGGGATATTCAAACTAATATGTTTCGGTACTTATACATCCCTCGGATTTCAAATGTTTGGCTTTGAGCGTTCCTGATGAAGGTAAAACCAGACAATTATTAAACGTGTTGTTTTCAATTTTTTGAGACAAATTGACAATGACATGGCCACTTAAAAACGGAAACAAACAAAAGAAAAATAATAAAATAATAAAAATACCGAACTCAGAGGAAATTCTAAACATATAGTCCCAATGGCAAGCAAAAAAACACATGGAAAACTAAAGACTGAGGAACACGAAACCCACCAGAGACCCTGAGGTTGCTTCGAAAGGTAAAGCAATAGCAATATTAATAAAATTGATCAATTTATGTTAAACAAAACAATTCATTTTACATAAAGTATTGTGTACAAAATAAATTTTATCAACATCCCAATAATTGAAGATCTTTGAATTTTTGAAACGATTTTATAATAAAAATTTATATTGATTGCGAAAAATATCATACTTTGAATTTTTGTGGCGATGAAAGGATGCGGCCTCTAAGTCCTCTGGATCCGCCACAATACATTTCTAATAGAGATCACACATTTGATTTTTGGCATGCATTGACTTTTTTATTGATCCCAGTGCTATTCAATGCTTATAGCAAACTCAGTTTCCAATTTTATTTGTGCCTCAGGTGTTGTGTTTCAATACAATACCTTGTTGAATATGTTTAGGTTTACATGATTGGTTTTACTTTAACACCAGAAAATGTTTTCTGATCTAATTTGCCTATTGTTATTAACAAAATTACATGCTTACTAGGTATTTTTAGGTAACGCATTTCTTTAAATATTAGGATTTTCAATTTTATTATCATGTTGACTATTAAATTACAGTATTAGAAAGTTTCAAAGTTGTATATGTCACTAATAGTTGTTATATCACTTTTGATTAGCAAATAAAAATAGTTTTTTTCCCTCAAATTGAGTATCCAATTAGTCAAATAGTCTAGTTTTTAACATTTCTTCCTTCATATTAGGTTTACACATTTTTCTAACTTCTGAGTTTTTTTCAAAAAACCATGGAATTGATGATAGTCTAAAATTAGATAGATCTTTGCATCTATGTAATAAATATCTTCATCAGTTATCGCACCAAATATTTTTGATCAGTTTTTGTCGAGCCTGCGACTTTTGTCGCAGAAAGCTCGACATAGGGATAGCGATCCGGCGGCGGCGTTAGCTAACTTCTTAAAAGCTTTATATTTTAGGAGATGGAAGACCTGGATGCTTCATACTTTGTATATGGATGCCTCATGTTACGAAGTTTCCGTCAGTCACATGTCCAATGTCCTTGACCTCATTTTCATGGTTCAGTGACTACTTGAAAAAAAAGTTCAGATTTTTTGTAATGTTAAATTCTCTCTTATTATAAGTAATAGGATAACTATATTTGGTATGTGCGTACCTTGCAAGGTCCTCATGCCCGTCAGACAGTTTTCACTTGACCTCGACCTCATTTCATGGATCAGTGAACAAGGTTAAGTTTTCGTGGTCAAGTCCATATCTCAGATACTATAAGCAATAGGTCTAGTATATTCGGTGTATGGAAGGACTGTAAGGTGTACATGTCCAACTGGCAGGTGTCATCTGACCTTGACCTCATTTTCATGGTTCAGTGGTTATAGTTAAGTTTTTGTGTTTTGGTCTGTTTTTCTTATACTGTATGCAATAGGTCTACTATATTTGGTGTATGGAATGATTGTAAGGTGTACATGTCTAGCTGGCAGGTGTCATCTGACCTTGACCTCATTTTCATGGTTCAGTGGTCAAAGTTAAGTTTTTGAGTTTTGGTCTTTCTTTCTAATACTGCATGCAATAGGTCAGCTATATTTGGTGTATGGAATGATTGTAAGGTGTACATGTCTAGCTGGCAGGTGTCATCTTACCTTGACCTCATTTTCATGGTTCAGTGGTCAAAGTTAAGTTTTTGAGTTTTGGTCTTTTTTTCTAATACTATATGCAATAGTTCAACTATATTTGGTGTATGGAAATATTTTATGATCTATATGTCAGTTACGCAAGTTTTATTTGACCTTGACCTCATTTTCAAGGTTCATTGCTCAGTGTTAAGTTTTTGTGTTTTCGTCTGTTTTTCTTAAACTATAAGCAATAGGTCAACTATATTTGTTGTATGGAAGAATTGTTAGCTGTACATGCCTGCCTAGCATGGTTCATCTGACCTTGACCTCATTTTCATGGTTCATTGGTCAATGTTTAGTTTACTTGGTTAATGTTAAGTTTATGTGACAGTTGTAATAAAGCTTTATATTTAGGACTATCAACATAATATCAATGATTAGTAAAGAAGGCGAGACATTTCAGCGTGTGCACTCTTGTTATTCAAAATATTCCAAGTTTCAACTTCAAAGTGTACAAATTTTTTGATTGAGTTAAGCCTTCCAATTGATATTTTATAGTGTGTTTTTCTATGTTGTGATGTTATACTACTGTTTCAGAAAAGGGAGAAGGTTTGGTATCATTAAAACGTTTAATCCCGCTGCAAATGTTTGCACCTGTCCTAAGTCAGGAATTTGATTACAGCAGTTGTCGTCTGTTTATGTAGTTCATACGTGTTTCTCGTTTCTCTTTTTTATATAGATTAGAAAGTTGGTTTTTCCGTTTGAATGGTTTTACACTAGTAATTTTTTTGGGCCCTTTATAGTTTGCTGTTCGGTGTGAGCCAATGCTCCGTGTTGAAGGCCGTACCTTGACCTACACAGGAAAAATTGCAACATATGTTTATACGTCCGTTTACGGGACTTATTATGGTATACCGTTGTCCTTCTGTCCGTCCGTCCGTCTGTCCATCCGTCTGTCCGTCGTCAACATGTCGGACATTAACTCAAAAATGCTTTAACCAATTTGCATAAAACTTTGGTGAATTGTTTATATCTATTGATGTGAGCTCCCTTTCGTTTTTTATAAATTTAGATTTTACGTTTCCGAGTTATGGGGTTTTATTCATTAAAAAAAGGGGGATTTTCCAGTTTTTGGACAATAATTCAAGAATGCTTTCACCAACTTGCAAGAAATTGTGATGAATTGTTTATATCTATTGACATGAGCTACCTTTCAATTTTTATAAATTTTAGATTTTACGTTTCCGAGTTGCAGGGTTTTATTCATGAAAAAAGGGGGGATTTTCCAGTTTTCGGACAAAAACTCAAAAATGCTTTCAGCAATTCTAATGAAACTTTGGTGAATTGTTTGTATGTATTGATGTAAGCTCCCTTTAGAATTTTATAAATTTTACATTTTACATTTCTGAGTTATGGGGTTTTATTCATTAAAAAAAGGGGTGATTTTCCAGTTTTCGGACAATAACTCAAAAATGTTGTCACCAATTCTCATGAAACTTTAGTGAATTGTTTATATCTATTGATGTAAGCTCCTTTTTTATTTTCATAAATTTCTAATATGACATTGAGAATTAATTGAACTTTATTTGTTTATAGTCTGACAAAAGATTTACTAAGTATTGCACAACAGCAAGAAATCTTTAATTGAATATAAATTCAATTCATATAACCAATTTCAAGATCTTTGACTACATTTATTCAGAAACCTATAATATGTCAAATATTTAATTACAATCCAAATTCGAACCTGAATCAAGCTTGAATATTGTGTCCATTTTTGTCCCAACTGTTCAGGGTTGGACCTCTGCGGGCGTATCTAGCTGCGCTCAGCGAAGCAGTTTATTTTCATATGTTTTCAAAACATATGAAAAACATATGAAAATCATATGTTTTTCATATGTTTAGGACAAACATATGATAAACATATGTTTACAAACATATGTTTCGAAACATATGAAAACATATGTAAGCAAACACATGTTTCCATATGTTTTATGACATATGTAAACATATGTTTATAAACATATGAAAAACATATGATTTTCATATGTTTTTATATGTTTTAATAGACATTTAAAAAAATGTTATTAGAAAATGTCAAAATTTGTCATATATCAATTACATTTTATAATTATTATATATATAACGTATATCTCAAACAGGAAGGTGCACTTTTAGAAATATTTTGGGCACCACTAAATTATTTTGTCAATTGTAAGGGAGCAGTACTACTCTTACCATAAGTGTAATTGTCCTTGATGAGATGTAAGGAGTTTGGGGTAGAATGTGGCATTGCTCCAGAGGTTTTAGTTTTTTTGGGGGAAGAAAGTGGTTTTAAATATCATTTCAGCTATAAAAATCCTGTATCATTACCACTTTTTTTTGCTTTCAATAGCATATAAAAGGCGTTACTATCCGATGGTATGTTCAAATCCAGCTTGTATATCTTATAACCTTATTTACACGTTATTTGCACCTAATATTTCATTATTTCATCTAAATGATTTATTTCTAAACGTTACATAGAGCTTTTTATATATTCGTTGGTACAGAATCTCTTGCAGATTCATAACAATACAATGTATTGCTAACCTCCTTTTTGTTAAATATCTTGTTTTGTTTACAAATCATAATTTTAAAATCCATTGCAATTATAATTTGATTAGTTTGCTTGTTGACCGTTACTTTAGTTGCATTAAAGTTGGTATGCAAACAGAAAAAGCTTTTCATCTATAAGACCTGTTAGTGGTCTGTAATTGCTTAAGGATAAGTAGTTGCGATAGACATGATCATTTATAATATTTAAACACAGAATCTTATGATCTTGATTCATTAAGAAACAAGAATGTGATCATAGTACACAGGTGCTCCACTTGCACAATCATTCTTTCTAGCTCACAGTTCCGAAGGAACTGTGAGCTTTTGCCATCACTTGGCGTCCGTCTGGTGTAAACTATTTCAAACATCTTCTCCTCTGAAACTACTGAACCAATTCCAACCAAA